GCTTCTCTCTCATCGATGTTTCTAACTCTCTATCCCTCTCCCTTCCTCTCTGTAAAAAATCAATAAAATATATTTAAAAAAATACCTTATGGTACTGTGCTCACCCTTCTTCTTGTGATGATACAGGATGATTCAATGATGAAATGATGTGAAGTGAATGATGCAGATATTTTTGGACTGCAGTTGGCCACAGGTAATTAAAACTGCAGATAAGAGAGACCTACTGTACATTCTAAAGAATCTGAGATCCTAAGAAGATACTTCAGGACAGTGCTGTCCAACAGAAATGTAAAGAAAGCCATATATGTACCTTTAAATGTTCTAGTAGTCATATAAAAAATAAGCAACAGATGAAATTAATATTTACTGTATTTAATCAAATATATCTAAAATATCATTTAAACATGTGATCAATAAAAAAGTATTAATAGGATATTTTCATTTTTTTATACTAAGTCTTTGAAATCCAGTGCACATATATTTTACACTCACAGTAAATCACAAATCAAACTAGAAACATTTTACTAGTAAGTGTTCAATAGCTATAAGTAGATACTGGTACAACTTCTATGGAAGGCAATTTAGACATCTAAAATATTTAACTCAGATACCCTCTGCTTGAGAAATTGTGCTTCTAGCAATTTATTTAGAATAAATACGCTCATGCATATGCTCAAATACACATGACAAAGAACCCACATTGCAGCATGGTTTGTGGCTGAAAGAACCTAATTGCAAACAACCTAAATGTTCACCAATAGGACACTCATTAAATAAATTATGGTGCATCCTCACAATGGAATACTCTGCTGCTATAAAAAATGAATGGAGCTGCTCCATATGTACTAAAATGGAGTAATTTCTAAAGTATATTGTTAAGCCAAACCAAGTAGGATATAGAACACTGTGTACTGAGTACTACACTTGTGTAAAAGTAAAAAGATTTACTCTGACACATACACATTCAAATATGCTTGTATGCACATGTATTACCTCTCAGAAGATACATACATACCATTGGTGTCACTGGAGGAACTGGGAACCAGGATGGGGAGAAAGACTCACTTTTTAGTTCATACCCTCTTGCAACTACCGAAATTTTGTGGTATGTACATGTTTTACCCTTGTAAAAATAGGTACTCATTAACTGCCTGCTATTTGCCATGTGCAATAATATGAATTGTAGATACAAAGATGAATTAGAAACATCATGTGTTGTAGTGCTCTGTCCTTTCAATCCACACTAATTTGGAGGTGATGATCTCCAGTCTCATAAACTGACCACTTTCAGATTTATGTCTGCAGCCCTTGAAATGCAGACTTGAATAGTTAATCCAAATTCATAGTGACAACTCAGGTCAAAACCTTGAAGTCTTTCTTAGCCCCCCTACTCTTTCATACTCTCAATAGTCCTGTTGGCCCTACTTTAAAATACATGCAAATATGACCATTTTTCAGCACCTCCATCTCTCTCAGCCAATTTCAAGCCTCCATAATTCCTTGCCTGAATTATTGCAGAACCTACTAACTCACAAGAACTTAAACTTTCTCAGTTCATGGTGCATTTAGTGTTCCGGTAATTTTTTTGATGGCTCCCTTAGGACAAAAGAAATAATTAACATTTCCATGTAAGTAGTTAGGTTCATATAACAATAACTATTCATGTCTTACTATTGGGTACCACATAACTTCTGAAACCTTGTAAACAGATTGGACACCACCTTACTCATTTCCTGTTCCGCAGTGATTTTCATGTGGTCCTTGCCTTTTATCACAGTAAAGGTTTTGCAGAGATATGACATCATTATAATATGATGTAGCAATATCAGATTAAAACCATAAACTGCCTCAAGCTAATATTTCATGTGGTGCCTGATAGATGTCACTGTTTTTCAAATATCAAAATTTAAAAGTAAAAACTTAAAAAATGCCCTGAAGCGCCCCTATGAGCCTATGAGTTGGCTGAGGTTCCACAGGGTATACTTCAATGCAGTTTGAGACCCAAGAGACTGTTTTCAATGGAATAACCACAGTGATCCATGAATCACTCCTCTACTTAAATCCCTCCAGTAACTTCCCAAACCCTACTATGGGCCTACAAGGCCTGCAAGTTCACACCTTATCCCCACTCACCAATTCTACCTCTTCAGCCTTCTCTCCCTACTTCACCTCCTCTTGTGCATTTCACTCCAGCCGCACTGGCCTCCTAGCAGACACACCCCTGTTCTAGGGCTTTGCTCTTTTTCTTGCTCTCTTGGGAAAGATTCCCCCCCAGAAACTACATAGTGTGTTCACTTTCTCTCTTCTCCCGTCTTTATTGACATATTCAAATGTTACCTTCTTAATGTGGCTTTCCTGACCACCCTATTCATAATTATAGCCCTGACCCCTGTCTCGTTAACTTCCTTCTCATGCTTTATTTTTTCTGCATGACCTAAACATATACCACAAACGCACAACATATATCCACGTGCCACAACCAGGCATATAGATATATATGTGTTTGAGTCCTTTAAAAAGCAGATGCTGAGACAGAATTAGAAGTGCAAGAAACTCGGGGGGGAAATAACTATGGAAGGTAAAAGAGAGAGAGCAGGAGTAGGCAGGGAAGATCTACAGACTATGATGAAGGTCTGATGTCTGTGATAGGAGAGTGGGGAGGAAGGAGCAGTGTGTAGGAAAAGCCTCAGACTGCAGTTAATAGCCTGAGCCAGGTCAACGAGGAGCCCAAGCCAAGTTCCGTTCTGGGTGCGGCTGAGCTCTAGGACCCTCGCTGTGCTCAGTCGCTGGAATAGCTCAGGAAGAGAATGGAGTAGCTCAGGAAGAGAGAACACTGCAGCAGGTCTTTGGGGAAGGTGCAGCTGATGGAGCCTGCTGTTAACACTCCTGGCAGCAGGTTCTCTCTTGAAGGGAGCCCTGAGGTGTGTGTGTGTGTGTGTGTATGTATACAAATATATACTAACATTATTTATAATAACAATATTATTAATTTTATCTTATTTGTGTCCTCAAACAAAAATAAAGTAACATATGGGCAGATAACTTTTATTGTTTTATTTTAGAACAAGGCTTGATAAATAATAGTCATTCAATAAATACCTATTGGATGAAGGGGTGAATGAAGGAATGAGTAGCAATGCCTTGATCTCTAATACTATCATTGTATCCTAGGTAAAAAGAGTCTCCAAGCAACCTAAGCAGCTAATGCATTGAGTTAAGTGGAAGCCTCAGTTCATTAGTCTTTCTGCAGTATATACCTGAAGATAACAATATACTGTAATCATGTGTCTACACTCAAGTATCTTTATGGTTTTAAAACTTCTAAACTTATCTATAGGTTAATTTTATCAAGCTCTTCAAGTACCTTTCTGGTATGGTCCCTCACCTGATTTTATTCCCTAGACTTATGTTATCAAGGTGAGGAGTTGACAATGCTGATGGTGCCGCCACTTTGCAGTAAAGGATAATTGGAAGAAAGAGACCTGGGTCTGGAAGTTAACAGACCTGATGTCAACACACAGTTCTGTTACCAATTCTGGGTTTGAAAAGCCACTATATTCTCTAAGTCTCAATTTCCCAATATATAGGCTAGGCATTATAGCACCTGGCCCTCTTACCCTTTACTCCCACATCAATGGGCAAAATGAATAACTTACAACGCATCTTCTTACAGTGGTAGAGATTTAAAGTATTCATATGGATCTTAAACACAAAATGATAGTGTGTTTGCTTAATTAACATCTTCAGCAATCAGTGTCCCGTATCAGAAGCTAAACCAGAAATAACTCTAGCTCTGAAGAGAAGAAAGCCATAAATAAATGTTTTTGTTCTATTAGTAATGAAGCAGAGAATGCCATCAAATATCTCTGTAAGGAATTTCAGTTGCATATGATAAAGTGATTCAAAAATGGTCATTATTTGCATCAGCGATGAAGCGAATGGCACCACATACTTGTAATAGGGCTGTTGTTGGCATCGCCTGGGGTCCATGACAGCTGAACACTTTTGTCGAGTTGATCTGTCAATTCTAAATCAAAGGGAGGATTTGGGACATCTGTAGATCAAACATACATCATAATTAACCATCCATCCTTATGAGGTTGTCCTTTACTTGTGATACTATTCATAGAGGGATGTATTAAAGCACAGCATACTGAATGGTCAATGAGCATGCAACTGAAATGAAATGGAAACAGCTAAGGTTGCTGGGAACACACAGCACATCCAAGACAACCCATCAGTGAGTTCTGATTGCTTCTTTTTCAAATGAAACTAAATTACTTGCAACCAAAACCAGTGTAGTGGGTGTGGGTGGTTCACAGCACTCTCAGTGTGTGTCTTCTCATGGACAAGAACGAGCAAAGACAGAAAAAATGATACAGAAACTTAATTTCTAATAAATGAGAAACAGAATAGTAAATGCTGAAAAACAAATACAGGCAAGTACATGTACAGTTCAAAGAAGACTCAAGTGTTCTCCCTGAAACATGCTAAGCTAAATTATGGATTTGGGGGGCTCCTGAAGAATATGTATGTTTTTAAGGGCACTCTAAAATTGATGCTCTAGAAGTAGCTCTCAGCATGAACACCGGATGCAGATATTCCGCACAACAGTCACATGGGACGGTGTGTTTACTCTCAGAGGACACACGGGTGCAGACACCTTTTAGAATGAAGGTATCCCAGAAGCATGTCTGCCTCTCCTAATGGTGCTTCTGAGATCCAGAGAGTTCATGTTCCTCCCTGGGACTTTTCCTGACCTTGCTCCTGGGGTAACTTAGGCTCTTGGAGAAGCAGAGACCATAGAAAAATATGGGCACTTATTTCCTATCAGTAAAGAAGCAATAAAGGCCTACAAAGGAGGGGTCTTCTGTAGCATAAATCTGGCTGAGTTTATGCTTTATGTGTTTACATGTTAAATAAAGATGAGGGTTCCTTAATCAAAAATATTTCTGGAAATAATTTCTGATTTATTTTCCAAACTCAGAAAAATCACACAACCGTAAGCTTCCCTTTTCTTGTCTTTCTTTAGTGGTTTATCTTTTGTTAACACACAGTGAGTTCGTTTTCTCAGATACAAAGGTCAAATGTTCTAAACATCCATGGCTTTCCTACATAATTTCTTGAAAATGGAATCTCAAAATATTTACTTTTCCAAAAAAAAACACTACTAATAGACATCTATAAAAGCCTGATTTTTGTGGAATGATATTTAAAATAGCTTTTTCATTCTGTAAAATGTGTAGGATAGCTTTTGAGCAAACACTATGCTTTTTACAGGGAAATTATATCAAAGAGGGACATTTATAAAATGAAATGACTTTAAAATAACACATGAAATGTTTAGAAGAGAGTGGCAATATATTCAGTGAAAAGTTCCAGAGTTATAATGAGGAAATGATGCACAGCAGTAAAGGAGCAACACAACAGAAGAGGTGACAGCCCTTTCCTTAAAGAAACACAAAATGTGATAGAAAAAATTAATTTTTCCGCAAATGTGAAATGTTTGACAGAAAATAGAGAAAGAAGACTCATTAGTTTACCGTAAATGGGAGCTGGAGTTGGAGTAGGAGCTAGAAAGGACATTAATATAAAGGATTTTAATCACAATTAGTAATGGAAAGATATACGATAGCACAAGACGACAAAGACTGAACATGATTAAGATTATAAAATAAACCCTTATGCTTCACTGTGAGCCATGGCATGGATAAACATGCATTACCAATTTTTTTGGGGGGAACCTTCCATTTTAAATAAAAGTAGATTATATTCCCCAATTTTCTTATGCAAATACCACTCATATGCATAACCACCATTTTATTCCAGTGCTGCTACAGAGTATAGTTACACTGAAATTATAGCTTCTTGGGTATCTCTCAAAGAAGAAAAACGAGTATTTAACTCACCAATAAAATTGTAAAACTCTAACAAGTAAACAGTTACTGCAGACAATCTTTCCCTCCTGCCTAAAACAGTTGTGCTGTGAGTGTTCAGTTCTTACCGACAACGCTAAGCACAGCACTGGCGGAAACATCGTCCAGAGTTGTGTTGGCCACACACGTGTAGGTCCCACCATCACTGTCACTTACATCAGCTACCACCAACTGGTCCTTGTCAACAGTGAACCTGTGAATAAAACACATTCTGAGCAACTGAAATGGACATCTAACCACATTTGATGATTGTTTTACTGGCATGAAACTGAATTTGGTAAAAGAGAAAGATGATGAAAATTTGCAGCACATTTAAGCTAAAATCTTATACAATAGGTATCACTTTGATAATGATTATAGTTGGAAAATAATTAGAATGAATTGTAACCTCGGGTTATGAGGGCTATTGAGGCATATGGTCCAATGGCGCTCAACCACGTCCCTGGAGTTTTAGGAGCTCCTTAGAGACCAGGGACATCCAGAGGTGAGGTGGGGCAGCTCCAGTTACCTTACTAGAGGGTTTCCTACGGCTTCTGATGCTAAGAAACCTTTCAACACTACTCATCCAGCTCAATTTCTAGCAAAGTGTATATTTTATTTATTATTATTAATTTTTATCCCCACCCAAGGATATGTTTCTATTGAGAGAGAGAGAGAGAGAGAGAGAGAGAGAGAGAGAGAAACATCAATCGGTTGCCTCTCATACATGCCTATCTGGGGATAGAACCCTCAACCTACGTATGTGACCTGACTGGAATGAACCTGCAAACTTCTGGTGTATGGGATGAAGCTCCAACTAACTGAGCTACCCAGCCAGGGCACAAAGTGTATATTTTAAAATAATTTAGAAGTTACTGCAGAAATTTTGTCACTTTTACTACATGCATAAACTCTCATAGGAGAAAGTAAATGCAAAAAACAGGACCAGTTTTTCACTAGAAACAGGAAGATTTAGATCAGCAATCACCACAATGAGTTTTCTGGAGGTTACTGTGGGCATGAAAAATTGCTCAGTAGGTAAAAAAAAATCCATGTAAATAGGATTATTGCAGATTAAAAACAAATTCTCACCCAAGGATATGTTTATTGATGAGAGAGAGAGAGAGAGATCAATGTGAGAGAAACATCGATTGGTTGCCTCCCGCATGCCCTGACTGGGGATCGAACCACAACCTAGGCATGTGCTCTGACCTGGAATTGAACCTGCCACCTTTCGGGTGTATGTGACGGCATTCCAATCAACTGGGTCACAATGGCCAGGGCAGGATTCGTGCAAGGTTTTAATAAGGCTGTATAAATCAACTGTCTTCGCAGGGAATTTCCAAGTTAAAGCTTTAGCCAACTTAAACTAAAGGTCATTACTTCATGTTTCCTTCTTATCTTTATCACTCAGATTCCACAAATAAACTGACCCGTTGGAGCCTAGAACTAGATGGAAACTCTGGGCATATAGAGGAGCAGGCTACATAGTTCTTCTAGGTGCTATTAACAACAACAGGGCACCATATCAGCACCTGGCAAGCAAACCACAGACACTATCTCCACCAGCCCCAGCATTCCTTCCAACAGGGGGTGATGCTTGTAGCTGCACTCTGATAGCTAAAATTCACACCTTCAGCTCCGTACTTAGTCAAATTGAGAGCCTTACTTGGAAAATAGATGCCACTTTTTTTTTTTCCATTCTAAGCTAAAGGGCTTCAATATGCTTAGGCTCTTTTAAATGTTTTGTTTTCCTCTCTCTTTTTTATTGGCTTGAAGTAAACTCAAAAGAAAACTCCCTATCCAAATAAAAACTAGTGTCCTTTAAAACAGCGGTCACAAACCTTTTGGACCTCACAAACCACCGATTGGTGACCACTGCTTTAGAATGCAAGGATTCTGCCCTAGCCAGTTTGGCTTAGTGGTTAGATTGTTGGCCCTTGGACTGAAGGGTTGCGGGTTCCATTCTGATCAAGGGCACATACCTGGGTTGTAGGCTCGATCCTCAGCCTCGGGAAGGGGCATGTGCGGGAGGCAACCAATCAATGTGTCTCTCTTACATCGATGTTTCTCTCTCTGTCTCTCTTCCCCTTTCCACTCTCTCTAAAAATCAATGGAAAAAATATCCTCGGGTGAGGATTAACAACAACAAAAAATTACAAGGTTTCAGGCACACTCTGGTGATTAAAGAGATCATACTTCTGCTTATTTGTAGGCTGGTAATGAAAACATCTGTTGAGACTTCACTGTACAAGGCAGAAAACAATGGACATTGTCCAAAGCCTGGAAGGTTTTTCTCCTCCTGAATTACACAGGAGACCAACACACAATGACAGACAAAGGTTCTCAGGGTCTTATTTCAATAACTTGATTAGGTACAGACATTTTACAGCAGGGAGAACCTGTGTGTCTATTTTGGACAAAGCAGACTTCAGAAACTTTTAAAACATCGTGGTTAAGTCATTATACAATAAACCTTCAGTCAACAGCAGCTTAAAGACAGAAGCAAGAGAAAGGAAAGTGATCATCTTCAAATACCTTCCGTCACTGGGCAGCTCACCGTTGTCCTTCAGCCAGATGACAGTAGGGATCAAGGTATGATCGTGTTTCACTTGGCAATCAAAGGACACTGTCCTCCCTCTTTGCACAACTGCATATTCAGGCTGTTTAATGATCCTCGTAGGATCTGAAATTTAAAGTTATTGTTATCTATTGGCCAAGCTGGGGAATTTGCTCACAGTCACATAATTCTGAAAAAAATTTGCCACCTCTGCCTTACCTTTGATTTCTAAGTGAACTTCATTCCTTGCCATTCCTAACGTATTCCTTGCAACACATGTGTAAGTTCCTGTGCTGTCCTTTTGGGCCACAGGAATTTCCAAAGTTCCATTTTCATGTAAAACGTAAGTGTCTTCACGAAGAGCACTACCTTTAGTTCCTTTGAACCTTCATGGAAATAATCACAGTGAGAAGTAAACCCATCACAATTTGAAGTCAGACATAAAATGCCATGTTCAAGGTCAACACATCATGATATGCATTATAGATTCAGGTTCAGAGATGTTTGGAATCTGCACAGCATATTGCATACTTGCATGTCAGTGGGATCAATGTAAAGACAGGATGTAAAACTGGAGAATTCAATGATCAGTGGTGCTTGAAGAATTAGGGTGACAATACAAGATACTTAAATTGTAATTTTCAAAAGGATAGATTTATCATTTTATAAACACACTAGAGGCCTGGTGCACAAAAATTTGTGCACTGGGGGGGGGGTCCCTCAGCCAGGCCTGTGCCCTCTCGCAGTCTGAAACCCCTCGGGGGTTGACCACTTGCTGGCTTAGGCCTACTCCCCAGGGAATTGGGCCTAAGCTGGCAATCAGACATCCCTCTGGCAGCCCAGCAGCCCTCGGGGGATGTCCACTTGCCAGCGGGGAGCAGACTTAAGCTGCAGTCGGACATCCTTAGCGCTGCTGAGGAGGCAGGAGAGGCTCCCACCACCACCGCTGTACTGGCAGCCATCAGCCTGGCTTGTGGCTGAGCAGAGCTCCCCCATGTGGGAGCGCACTGACCACCAGAGGGCAGCTCCTGCATTGAGCGTCTGTCCCCTGGTCGTCAGTGTGTGTCATAGTGACCAGTCATTCCCAGTCGCTCTGCTGTTAGGGTCAGTTTGCATATTACCCTTTTACTATATAGGATAGAGGCCTGGTGCACGGGTGGGGGCCGGCTGGTTTGCCCTGAAGGGTGTCCCGGATCAGGGGTGGGGTCCCGCTTGGGTGCCTGGCCAGCCTGGGTGAGGGGCTGATGGCTGTTTGCAGCTGATCACACCCCCTTCAGGGTGGGGGTCCCCACTGGGGTGCCTGGCCAGCCTGGACGAGGGGCTGATGGCTGTTTTCAGGCTGGCCACACCCCCTTTAGGGTGGGGGTCCCCACTGTGGTGCCTGGCCAGTCTGGGTGAGGGGCTGAGGGCCATTTTCAGGCTGGCTGTCGACTGAAGCTCCCAGCCTCTCCTTTTTTTTTTTTATTCTGGGATTTATTTACCTTCTATAATTGAAACTTTTTTGCCATCCCTGGAGCTGAGAGCTGGCTCCTGCTTGCTCCAGCTCTGAGGCCACAGCCTGCTGAAAGCAGGTATCTGGGGTTTGTTTAGCTTCTATAATTGAAACTTTGTTGCTTTCGGAGCTCAGAGCCAGGCTGCAGCAGTTGGGGAACCTTGGCTTCTTCCATCACTGGAGCAAGCAAGCCTCCTGCTTTGTTGGTGGTTAATTTGCATATCACCCTGATTAGCCAATGGGAAGTGTAGTGAAGGTAAGGTCAATTACCCTTTTTGTCTTTTATTAGATAGGATTATTATAGACCCTATTTCTAAATAAGTGATAAAATAGGCCCAATGAACACTGCTCTTTTTGACATTTCCCTCCTATTGTGAAGTATTATAACTTCATTCTAAAGAGATTTTGATTTCAAGGCTATAAGGTTTGTACTTCTGAAAGTATGACTAGAAAAATATTCAGGGTAGAAAAAAGATAAAGCATATATATGTACCTTCAGCTTCCTGGCTCGTGCCAGACAGAAGTAAGGGTGGATGAAAAGGCTAAATCAACCAGGACTAAGTGTGAACCTGCCCCCTTCACTAGGAAATCATGCGCACAAGCATCCAGGCCTCTGTGGTTGAAGTGGGGACGTGGTGAGATTATCCTTTAATCCTACACCTGGCTTTCATTTCACATCAGCAGGAGGAGCCCACACAATGTCTGGCATCTCACAGATGACCAATAAATGAATGCTCCAACTTTCTTTCACTCATTCTTTCTGAGCTGTGCTTATGCTAGCCTTGTTTCTTTAACTCGTGCTACAGTAAGCAAGCTAGGTGATGAGCAGAACTTGTGTCAGGAGTGTTATAGGGAAGCTTCAGGAAGGTCTAAAGTGGGAGGTAAAGGGACACAGTAGAGCTTGGCTGGATCCAAGTCAGGAAATTCAGGTGGGGGAGGTAATAAAGGTAAACACTAGTAATAACAAACTCTGATTTTGAGCTTATAGAATCTCTTTGCCACCCCAAATGATATTTGATTTTCAAGAAATGTCCCCCAACCAATGCTTCTAGCCACCATTCATGAAGTCCCAGGTAATGTCCATGGCACTGTAAAATGCAACAACCTTAAATTTTATAAAAAACATTTACATATATCTCTGTGGTTGACAATGCGTGCTGTTAAACAGATTATACATGCGAAAGTATTTAGTACAGAACAAGTAGTTAATAAATATTTGTGCATACATTAAATAATTAATAATATGATGGATTCTGCACTGCCTTTCCCCTATATGTTCTCTGACTAAAACCCAACATATTAAGAAATTTGAAGGTGTTATCAAATAGAAACATTAAAAAGAAATAGGACCAATACTTACCACTCAATGGTAGGTAGAGGAGACCCAAAGAAGGCACAGTCTAGTAGAGCGGGCCTGTTTGCAATGACCTGATAGAGTGTGTTTTCAGATGTAAGGATGCGTGGTGGCTCAGCTAGAAACGTTTAGAAAAGGTAAAGTAAATATAAAATAAACACTCAGACCCACCATCTATTTTATTGCATTTTGTTTTAAGGCCATTAGAGTTTATGGAAAAGCACAACCAATATGCCTCTGCCCATATGTTCTCTATCAGGCACAACACTACCAGACACTCAAGGAGGAAAAATAAGTCTTCTCCCTCTGCCTCATGCCCCACATATTATCAGGCATAGGGTTTTAATAATTGATTTATTTATCTATATCTTCTCCACTGTGAGTCCCTTGAAGGTAGGGAATGTGCTAGTTTTCCCCAGGAACTAGCACAGTGTCTGGCACAAAAATCATGACTAAGTACATTTTTGTTGAGTGACTGGCCCATCATAACCCCTGAGTTATAGTGGGGGTGGGTGGGTGGGAGCAGAGCCGGCAGAAAAGAGCACAGTGCTGATGATTAAAAAACAGAACCAGAGATCAAACTGCTTCCTAAACATCCACCAATATCTCACTGCTCAGCTCTTCCTTTGACTTACTGACCTCCATTCCAAGCACAAAGGGGAAATATGAAGTGTCGGTTGGCTTCCTAACTAATTTTGTGTGAAAGGGAGCCTACCACACTTAAAGACTTGAAATATAATTCCCTGGCACCATGAAAACAATTCTCACGTAAACTTTTAACAAGTTTGATATTTTGGTAGTTTTGTCCATTACAAGGAAAACAATATTCACATAACCAACCATTTCAGAATATGTTTGAATATGTCATAGTTTTAAAAAATGTATTACTATGAATTAATAAATGCACACCTGTGACTTGGATAGAGGCCAACTGTTATGATTAATGACTTATTTAAAAAAAATCAGAACTGTTACTCAAGTTGTCTATTTCTAGGATGGAACAGCAGTAACCTTCTGTTACTAATGGCAACTCAATGCCATTTTCCTATTGAGGGGTTTGATAGTTGGTCTAATCATCTGTGAACAGAGCAGCCTGACTATTTGGTTATTTGTACAATGAAGAATAGCCCATGGTAAACACTGTGTTATGAAAGAACATTAAGAGTAGACTGTAGCCCTAACCAGTTTGTCTCAGTGGATGGGAGCATTGGCCTGTGGACTGAAGGGTCCCAGGTTCGATTCTGGTCAAGGGCATGTACCTTGGTTGTGGGCACATCCCCAGTAGTGGGTGTGCAGGAGGCAGCTGATCGATGTTTCTAACTCTCTATCCCTCTCCCTTCCTCTCTGTAAAAAATCAATAAAATATATATTTTTTAAAAAGAGTAGACTGTAATACCCTTTAGAGCAAGGTTTGTATCTTATTCATCTTTCTTTATCCCTGTTAGTTCCAAGAACCCAGCATTGCACATAGTAGCTGCTCAATGCATTTTTGAAAAATGATTGGAAAACAACTTAAGTCCTGAATTTAACCTGCCACGTCTTCAATAGAGGAAGAGCTTACCCAGCACATTTACAAATGCATTTCCCAGCAAATATCCATATTCATTAGAGGCATTGCACTGATACACAGCACTGGATCTTTCTTGAACACTTGAGAAAATAATGGTATCTCCATTTATTTTTCTGCTGGGGTCATCAGGGGCAACTGTTTGGGTGTAAAAATAAAAAAGTATACATTTATTCCTCTTTGCTTAGAAGATGTAAAGCTTGAGGTCTACATGATAGTAAGCAGAACAAATACAGACTGATCTAGGTATATCCAGTACGAAGGACAAGACCAAGAACTGAGCAGAAGCCACAATTTTCCTTCCTCAGAATTTAGTTATCACTTAGCATGGGTGTATGCTGGATATTCACTTAGTTTTAAGTGGATTGACTGAACATTATTTTGAGAGATGCAGGAACAGAAAAGCACAAATTGGGTGAAAACTGCAATACAAATTTAGGAAAATATTTCCTTGTTCACAAAGAAATCATGGACAGCAAAAACTAGTCAAAAACAATATAGGAACCCTGTAGCTCATCCAAATCTGTCTTTTAAGAGCCTCTTTTTGAAATAAATAAAGAAAGAAAGAAAGGAAGGAAGGAAGGAAGGAAGGAAGGAAGGAAGGAAGGAAGGAAGGAAGAAAAGAAAGAAAGAAAGGGAAAGAAAGAACTAATAATCAAATGTGAAGATACTTCTTTTCCTGTTTTGGAAATTCCTGAGGCTGGCATAGAAGTACATTCTGTAAAAATTCTTTGAAAGGTAGTATTTTCAGCTAAACCTCTCAAGTACTTAAAAAAATGTTAAGACCAGGATTGGTCCTTACTGACGTGGAATGGCACTGGTCGGGTAATGTAATACGTGAGAATTATGTCCAGGGCATGCCCAACAATTTGGAGGTGCTGCATTCCTGAGCTAAATCCCTTCGTGTGAATGCTAACGCCTAGGCGGGGGCCTTCCGTTGCTTTAAAAGGACACTGAAAGGGCTAACAGGCATCTGCCTCAGCATGCTGACCCAAAGCAAAACCGAGTCACAGCAGCCTTTCTCCCCAACTGCTCTTGCAACTTGAGCCACTTAAGTAGACTTTGCTTTCATTCTACACACCATTTTTCCCTTTGATGACAGGAAATGAATGTGCATCTAAGACATGATTATCACTGCATTCAGACTCCTTTATTGCTTTAAAATTTCAAATATTGGGTTCATCTGTGATTAACTCACTTTAATAGAAGCCAAAATATAGTTATTAATCTTTGTTTTATCACACATATTCAATGTGCTCATACTTCCTGCATTAGTTTTCTACTGCTATCACAAATTATTACAAACTTAGTGGCTTAAAACCACACAAATTTACTATTATACAGATCTGTATGTAGATGTTCAACACTCGGATCACAATCAATAGATAATTTATGAAATTATCTTAAATACTCCAGTTAGTTCAACTAGTGATCAGGTTGTATCAAGACACTTGAGTCAGCTTCTTAGCTCATATCTGCTGTTTATGAGTCTATTATTTTAAAAATCGCCTTAGGAAACATGTTCTTCTAACCAGAAGATAATAACAAGTTCGAACTCCTTTAACAGGGTATAAGTTTTATCAATAAACTACAGGAGAGAACAGAAATGTCACAGTGATGTAGGAAGTGAACTACAGCTGTGACCAGGCATCCAGGTACCCTGAGAATGCAATATACCTCAGGGCAGCCGTGTTCCTTATTCCAGATCCAAGTCTAGTATCTTCAGGATCTTTCTGACTCACATGCTCTCAGTGATGCCCATCCACTGCCTCAGCAAGGCGTGCTGGAGCAGAGCTGAATAACAAATCTGGACCAGCACCTGGACACTCACTGTTGGGATTCCTCAGGGGACTCTCGGTGCCCCGACATGTCCATTCGGACTGCACCTCTGTGGACATGCCACGCAGTGGAGGGCCGGGAGTGAGTGACGGGCATTTGACAGTGATGAGGCCCGCGGAGGCTCTGGGCCTTATCTATCTGGATGGGTGGCAGACTAAGTGAGAAGAGCTCCTCAAATTCCTTGAGTATGTTGTACTTTTAGAAGTTACATCACCCTGGGTTGTTTAATGGTATAGAGTTCCAGTTTTGCAAGATGAAAAAGTTCTGGATGTCTCTTTCACAATAATGTGAATATATTCAACACTTACTGGACTGTACACTTAAAAATGGTTAAGATGGCCCTAACCAGTTTGGCTCAGTGGATAGAGTGTTGGCCTGCGGACTCAAAGGTCCCAGGTTCGATTCCGGTCAAGGGCATATGCCTTGGTTGCGGGCACATCCCCAGTGGGAGGTGTGCAGGACGCAGCTGGTCGATGTTTCTCTCTCATTGATGTTTCTAACTCTCTATCCCTCTCCCTTCCTCTCTGTATAAAATCAATAAAATATATATTTTTTTAAAAAATAAAAATGGTTAAGATGGTAAATTGTGGTTTTTTAACCACAATAAAAAAGGTTACAGCACCATGAACATGGAAGACCAGGTCAATGAACAAAGCCAGCAGGACAGTCTTCCTCCAGTGGGGACTCATTAGTCACATCATAAAATAAACCGTTTTAAAAAGGTTTTATGCAGCCCAGTTGCACCTTTCGATGTTATTCTTTACATGAAAGGCATCCAACTGTCCGTGCCTTATTTCTGCTAAGTGGAGCAGTCTTTGAATATTTTTGGCAAGGTTTTCAGAAATAAAATAAAACCTTTAGGTAAGAGCAGTGAACAAGCCCTCCATGGGGCTTGGTCTACATTTTCCTTAAGCACTTACCAATGAAACGCAAACAAACCCAGGAACTGTTCGTGGCTCAGCTGGTATTTGGACAAAGAATGAAACTGTACAGAGATATCTGAATGAAGCCTTTGGACTCTGTGCTGGCTACTGGGTGGGAGTAGCTCTCCAGTGCAAAGCTAAGTTATCCAAAGGAATAATAATTGATTCTAGAAACAATTAATTTCACTTGCTAATAATGAACATTGGAGGAAGAAATTTAAGAGCACAGACTCACTGCATAGAACTTAAAGCCCCAAAGGTAAGGCCCCGAACTGGGGTGATAGCCTTCCAATAATACTTTCTTTTATCTAACTCTCCTGACATGACTGCCTGAATTATAAATGCTTCCAACGTTTAGATAATGAGAAGAAGAAGAAGAATGAGTGCCACCTTACATGGATAGAGCATTATTAATTTTAAAAATACTGTGTCTATTGCATAATTTTATTTTAAAAATAACTTTGTGAACTAGATTAACTAGCTATCAGATGCACTCGAGCCTGGAGACCTAATGGTTTGTTTACCATGAAATCAATGCTCAGCTTTTCTGGGTTAGTCTGCTTCATAAACATCTCCAGAAATCTGAACAGTTTGGAATAACGTAGACCAAGTCTCTAGGTGAAGAGGTGAATTTTCCTCTTCAATTGCTTATTTCATCCACTAGAAGGATTTTACTTTTGAGAAAAGGAAGATTGGTGGAATCTTGGGAATATCCTGGTCCCTTCCTCCATTCCCTTGGCTGCTTATCATATCTTACTGGTTTTCAATCTCTCCCTGCAATGTCAGTAATATATGTAATTGTGGCAGGAGGTCTATGCATTCTCTCTCTCACTTCATTCCTTGCCCTCCTCATGTCTTAGAGAAAAGAACCCTTTTGACATAATGGTGGTGTGATGTTATATATGCTCCATGAGGAAGAATCTGAGGTCGACCACAACTCACATGGAACACGGTTACAGACCGACAAGTGTTAGGCTTCCTGCTGCCTCTCAGGACAGGGACAGGTACTGTGGTGCCCACGACCCTGGCCTTGGACATTTTCTTTCTGGAAGGGTTCTACTTCCACACCTTCCCAGACACTGCAGGTCACATGATAAAATTAAAGTTCTCTGCAGCTGTGTTCTTTCTCCTAACTTCTGAGGGTTGTTTAAAGAATATTTTAGGTGATTTGGGGGAAAATTCCATATCATGCAGTCTATTTTTTTTTGTTACAAGAAAAGTTTAAAGTAACCTGGCCAGTCTCGGGGGACAGAGCTTTGGAAGACATTGAGATGAGATCCCAGACAGTTTTTGAGTTAATTCTTCCAGTTTTGTAAAACAGGCCCCAGGTCTGAAATGCACAGTCACAAATCAATAACACTATTTTGCTAGCAAAATCCCCCTCTATCCCCCTGGTCCTGCTACTCCTTCACAGTAATTATGTGCACTTGGCAGCCAGGGCCTGCAGAGGGAGGAGGAGTGTCTATGTCCTTGGATGACTGCCTACGAGCCAGGTATGGGGAGGCTGTGTATCTGGGAGTATGGTCCCCTGATAGTGCCTCTGCTGTGTGGCACCTGGTGGGGACTCCAGGCACCTGGCAGAGATGCTACGCAGCTCCCTGCATGACAATGCTGCAGAGGCACAGCTGTCCCCTGCCCCTCACCCTCGGCAGCTGATCTACCCAAGGTTTCTGCAGCCTCTTTGGTGAAAGGTGTTGTCAGCAAATCAGCTTGTGCTCCCAGCAAACTTATGAGGCCCAGTCTAGGCCCTCTTGAAGGTTATAAATGCCTACCATGCCTATTGTGTGCCACTGTATACTGCAGCAGACTTCGCTCTCTCTTGCCTACCCCTGCCTCTCTGCCAACCTTTCCCCAGGACCCATCATTGCTGGATGCAGCAGTGGGGGTGCACCATTCAGCAAACTGCAGATGAGAAACAAGTCCCAGGCCCCTGTTTCCAGAGCAGTCCCAAACCTCAAAGGCAATTCTGCTTAGGAGCCTCTAAATTCTGCGGGCAACCATCCAGCAGAGTGGAGAAGCACAAAGCTCCTTGAAATTCCATGAATTTTTGACAGTTTTCTTCCCCATTTACTCCTTGTGTTGTATCAGGGTAGGTCAACACAAGGTGAGGTGTGTAGGCTGACTTTGAACTCAGTAGATGGTCCAGATGCTGAGGGTGGGAGCAGAGAACAGCAGTGAGCCTGCAGTATCATCCTGCAGAGAGCTATGAGGGTCCCCACCAGGTGTCTCAGCTCTTTGCCTTTTAGTTATGAGATTCCAAAAAGCAATCCATACATGTTTAGTTTGGCCACCAACTGTGGAGAAAGACACCGTGTAGGGATGCTTCATATCATTGCGGTGTAAACATACGGCACCTGCTCCTGGCACCATGGGACAGCCTCGTGGGCCAGAATCCTTGTCTGCTGCCATGCCGTGGTGTTTCTCTCCTTGCTTGTCCACCAGAGTGACTGCTCTGAGGCACAGCAGAGGTCAGGGATCCTGGATCTGTAGGAATTGTGGAATTCTGATCCTACCTTCACTTAACTTCCTTCCAGTGGGGACTTAAATACTTTTGAGATGGAAGAAATGAACTCATATGGAACCTGACTTGACAGCTTTTTGTTCTCTTTCTCCTCTGGACCTAATCAGATAATTTGGGGTTATAGGAAAAGGCCCTACCTTATCTCCTGGGACTACTGCTCTGAGCCAACCTCCCCATCCTAAGAAGGCCTTTCACAGTTGATCCTTCCCCCAAACATTTCACTTAAAGAGGAATGTCTATGAGTGCATTTCAAAGATCTTAATACAACTAGAGTTACAAGGTTCCCTGAGAGGCACAGCCTGTCCTGGGTTTGGTATGACAGTAAGTTGAGCGAATCAGGAAGAAAGGTCAGCTTCATAATTTAATCTCTCAAGTCTGTTCAAGGCAGCAGAGTGGCAGCCTGGACCAGTTGGCTGAGAAAAACTTCGCGAGTGGTCCAGGGAAAGTGCCAGGAGAGGTGACAGCTGCAGCCACGACTGTGAGAACTGCTCAAGGATGATCTTCGCTATCCCTGGGAAGGGAAACTGATCAAGGTTGAGTGTCCTGCATTGGCCCGGGTGAGAGGGTGTGTTCTTTGGCTACTAAGTGGAATAGTGACATCTGAAGCCTTAAGAACTTGGGAACTTCTGGGCTATATTTAGGAATAAAAACTCTTTAAATTAAGACAGCTATGTTTCTTACTCTTCTAGCCACTGGCTCTATTCCCAAGCCTCCCCACCCACCTCCTCTGACTCTTATGATGTTTCTGTAAACCACTTCACATTCTGAACAAAGAAGATAAACTGAGCTTCTCAGTGAAGTTTAGTTTTGACCCTGCCCTTCTTCCTATGATGCTTGTAAACAAACAAACAACAACAAAGGAAATATCCCCAAGTCCCAATCAACACATGCCATTATAGTACAAATATTCCATCACCATAAATATCTAAAGGTAGTAAGATAAAAATATAAAGGTAATTTGGTATCTGTTTACCTTTTACACGACTTCCTTCCTTAATCCAAATTATTTTATCACTATTTGTTCCCTGTTGAGATGTACCTATGCCCTGAAAATATACCACCACCAGAGCCAGTCAAGGAAACTTACTTTCTATTGGGACTCCATTCGACAACCAGCTAATTCTGGGCTTGGGGTTGCCGCTAGCTCTGCAGATCAGGGCCCCGTCCTCTCCTGGGGACAGCACAAGATTCTGAGGTGCCATGATCCAGTATGGAGCCGCTTGATTGAGGAAAGAAAAAAACACACAAAAATGTGAGTCAAATAAGAATTCTAGCTAATTTAGTATAATGACCTATTTTAATAAAAAGCATTTTGCAAAACATTTATTAGTTTTATTTTTTAGAGTGAGTAGGTTTATCAGTGATGCTTCCAATAATACTTCAGGTTTTCAAAAGAATGTTTAAAGAGACTCACTAATATCTAGGTATTATTTCTAAACCTTTTTGATAAAATTATCATCTGTTTTACATTAATTAATCATACATCAAACAAGCCACAGATTTATCCAAGGGTGTAGAGCAATTTACAGGTAAAGATAGGACTGAAAAAATATGAATTTAAATGCTGAGCCTCACAGAATCTATGTCATTATAAAATTAGGAAGCAATTTTTAAAACTTCGCAATTGTGAAAAGTTGCAAGGTTAATATATAGTGTTCCCACAAGCCCTTCACCCAGCCTTCTCTAATGTTAGTATCTTATATAACCATGGTACAGTTATCAAAACAAGAATTAACATTGGTGCAGCGCCATTAACTAAACAACACACTTTATTAGAACTTCCCCAGTTTTTCCATGGTCTTATTTCTGTCCCAGGACCCTGGACACCACATCGCATTTACTTGTCGTATTTCCTTAGTTTCCTCCAATCTGAGAATTTCTTGGTCTTTTGTGTCTTTCATGACCTTTAGACTTTTGAAGAACACTGATCAGTTATTTTGTAGAACGCCTTTCGACTTGGATTTGTCTGTTTTCTCATGATTAGACTAAGGTTTTGGGTGATGGATCTTCTGATTACGACATACCAGGGAGCACATGATATCAACATATTACTGGTTGTGTTAATCTTGATCTCTTGGTTAAGGTGATGTTTGCCAGGTTTCTCCACTGTAAAGTTAGTATTTTCCTGCTTTCCATACTCTATTTACTTAGTGAGGCACTAAGTTCAGCCCACATTCAAGGGGAGGGACCATAAGCTCCATCTCCTTAAGGGAGGAGTATAAAGAATGTGAAGACATCTATTAAAACTGCCTCAGGAAATTATTTTCTTTTGTGGCGGGATAAATACTTTGAGGCTATACAAATATCCTCTTCCTCCTTAAGGTTTCATCCACTAATTTTAGCATTCATCACTGGCTCTTGCCTGCAGCAATTGTAATGGCGGGATTCTAATGGTGACTTTCCGTTTCCTTCATTCTTTCTACATTTATTAATTGGGATACTTTTGTAAGGAAGATTTGAGGAAGCTATTTTTAATCTTATGTAGATGCACAATAAGTATAAACAGCAATGAGAAGAGATTCACAGTATCATGAATGTTGATACAAATTTACATTTATTATTATTGAAGAATATAATGGAAGGCATACGAATTGAAGATTTAGGGCCTCTCATGAATGCAAGAGCAAGACATTTTAAACAATGATATGTACCTTTCACTGTGACAGAAATGGTGTGATGGATGACTCCTAATGCATTTTTGGCTATACACTGGTACTTCCCCGAGTCTGCTTCTGAAACCTGAGTGATCTGCAGAGTTTTCTGAAAGTTCCTATAAAATGTCCGGTTGATGGGTAGTGTTCCATCTTCTTTTATCCAGTAAATGATTGGGGTAGGCCTGATAAGATAAGTAAAGGATGATGACACAAAAAAAGAAGTTACCTAACTGCTTTTGAGGGTGAATTTTCATGCACGTTTATAATAAATGCTTTACATAAAGCTAATGAGAAGCATATAAGTACTTTAACTAGCATCACACTTTTATAAATAACGCTCAGAACCTTATGTTTAAGGCTATCAGCTACCATTTTCACATAAGCTGAACTACGCCACTTTGTGGCACACCATAAACTTGGACTGCAGTGGTGCGGTGAGTATGCCAGCACGAGTTACTTTACTGACGGGACCTAAATGTTTCCTTCCAAGTTCTCATCAATGAGGCACTCTTGGAAAATTTTACATGAAGGTACTATGCCAATCAAAAAAATTACCATGAAATTAATGATACTGAGTTAGATTTTTTTTTTTATCAGCTAGAGTTAAAGATGCACAGAGAAAGAGATGATACACATAGTTGTGCCCAGGAATTTTTTTTACACACATTTCCACATCAAATGGAAGAACTTTTTTATTTCAAAGAAGGCTATCTGGTAATGTAAGTGAAGTAATTAGAGAGATGGTGCTCTTTCCTTAATGTCATTATTATTTACTAGAGGCCTGGTGCACGAATTCGTGCATGGGTGGGGTCCCTCGGCCTGGCTGGCAATCAGGGCTGATTGGGGCCCATCTCATCCAGTCCTGGTCGGTGCTGATCGGGCCAGCCGGCTGGGGGGAGGGACCGTGGGAAGTTGGCTGGCTGCGGGAGGTTGGCTATGGGAGCACACTGACCACCAGGGGGCAGCTCCTGCATTGAGCACCTGCCCCCTGGTGGTCAGTGTGCATCATAGCTACCAGCCAGTCGTAACGGTCACTTAGGCTTTTATATATAGAGATATTTTAAAATATTATACCAGTTGACAAGAAGAGATTAAACTCATGTATTACACCATTTCTCACGGTGTTTCTTATTCAATTATGAAGTATAGGGACCGATGAAAAGCCAGAACACAGGCTTAGAGTTAAAGATCTGCTTTCAAGTGCCAGCCCTGTTCCTAAATTGTTCTCTGACCTTGGCTCCTTGGCCTCTTTGGGCTTCAGTTTCCTTAGCTGCCTTACTGGGGATAATAATGCCTGACTCGATCAAGTGGCTTTAGAAGCTTTTCATGAGGATAAAATAAAAATCCACTCGACGCAAACATTTACTAGGCACGGAACTAGAGACCAAGCATTGAGTTGTGTGTTGGGAAGATAAAGATGAAGAAAGAATGATCCAGGCCCTCAGGAAGATCACAATATTTGTCATTAGAAATGCAAGTGGGATTAATTGATTATTTAAAAAATTGATTTTGATATATTTGGTTAAATAAAAATAATTTAACACACACATATATTTGATGAAACGGTTTCTAAAATAAGACATGATGTGAATATAAAAAGAGGCAAAAATGTGAAATCATTTTGAAAAGCTGAAGCTACCATGCACACGTGGAATCGGATAGCACACTACGGTGTTTCCTTACAGTCAGATTAATCTGCATCTCCTATGATCTGGAGGTGAGAGGGCAGTGGGGGTAGAAGAATGAGATCACAGCTTTGCTACATCATGAACTGCTCTGGAGGCCTGCTACTCCACGGAGCAGGTGTTAAGAATTAGAAATATTTTTATTCTATGAGTCTATGATTTATAAGTGATAGAGCTCCAATCTTAGTTTTATAGCATTCCAAGCTTTAAAAAATTTTTTTGGAAGTTTGAGGCAATTTCCAAATACCAACCACATTTTAGATTTTTATGTAATATATCACATGTGGGAAGGAGAATCACTAAATTGTGAGAACGGGTCTGTCTACTCCCAAAAGGTTGAAGGTTGGTAGATCAAACCACTTTTTAACACAATGTTGAAGAAAATTGCAAGGGTTTTGTTTTTTGTGTTTGTTTTTTTATTCTACTGGGGAAGATATATACTTAATGAATCTTTAAATGAGGGCTTTGCTAGTTTTCAGGTACTTGAGAAACCAAGTAGTGTGTGGTGTGCTTTCCTGCCACGGCCAGCAGAGGCCTCCATTCATTCCTAAAGGCTGGTTCTGGGAAGGAGACTGCTGAGTTATCAGCACAGATCAAACATGTGATCACAACATGTTTCTGAGAGTCTATTCAATGCTTTCAGCATATGTGCCCATATCAATGGCACTTGCTCTATGCCATGTATCAGAAGGGACTAGGTAGAAGTTTGTCTCTAATGTGTACCTAATGTAACAGTTGTTCTTATATCTGAGCGAGGCCTTCCTGCAACTCCCGCCAAGGGCACATAGGTTCTAGGGGTGACATCGATTTTGACGAGACATTTGCAAAGAAGCTGGGCTTGTGACTTGACAGTAGGAAATAGTGCAAGGAACACTGTGCCAGTTCCGAGGCTAGGCCCTAAAAGGCTGTGTGTGCTTCTATTGCTAGAAGAATTAGCCTGGGCTGGGCTGCTAGAGGGATGTGAGAAATTCAAGGCCAAGAGCTCAGCTGTGCAGCTGACAGCCAGCACTACACCCTCAGAACTGTGAACCCATAGCTGAGCCACCTCGTAGACACATGAGCAGGCTCAACCTAAATCAGCTAGATTAGCCCATTCTAGCACCACCTCCCTGCAGACCTGCAGAAAAATGATTAATGATAAATAGCTATTGTTTTTAAGCCATTAAGTTTTGAGGTGGTTTGTTACACACAGTAGCAAAGTAATCACCCTAATTATACTTGTAGCAATCATAAGGTGATAACTGATACTTATTTCACGAGGAACACCATTATATTAAAAATGTTTTAATAATATGAGATTATATGGCCTATTTTGGAAATAATTCTCAGATATTTCTTGATGCTTGATGGAATTATATAAGACAGTGACTCTTCCTATGATGTTAATACTTCTCTACCAATCGATTCTGTTTTTACAAGAAATGTACACCAAGACACAAAGTATTAACTCACAGTCCTTCTGCAATGCACTCTAACGAAAGAACATTCCCTCTTAATTCCTCTTTGTTACTTGCATTGCCTTGTGGAGTTAAAAATGTTGGTGGCCTCTCTCTACTTGATTTAGCTGCAAACGAGAAAATCAATATGCATTAAAAGTTATGAATATGTATTTCTAGAAACACAGCTCACTGCCTAAAAATCTAATCCCTTTTCAAAACTATTTAACATTGTAAAATTTGTTAAACTACACATGCACACTCTTTGCCTTACAAATAGCCATTGCTCACTTAGCCACTCAGGAATAGGAACAATTTTGGTTGCATAAACACTAATAGTAAGAACTATTCTCCTTTCGTATATTTTCTTAATTTGTAATATTTTTCATGAATTTTTTTGTGTACAGGTAAATTTTCACAATGCAGACATAGAAAGGAAAATCATGTTCTCAAACTAAACATCACGTAAAATTAGGGCTCAAAGCAAAGTTAGCTGTCTACTTCCTAGAAGGTGTTAGATTTTTCTGAGGGTATGACTGTGGATGGGCTATTCTGGTTTCCACCAGGGACAACATCACACTCAATTCCATTGATTAATTATGGAGATAAATCTGTGGTAGATGTCTAATATGTCAAAGTCCTCAAACTCCAAGGTTTATAGAAAACAAAACAACACAAAACAAAATTAGAAAGTTACTAATAGAGGTCTGGCAAGTTTTGCCACAAATTAAGACTAATAATGGAGTTAAAGAAATTGAAATTGGTTTCCTCAATGAAAATATAAAGAGGGCTCAAATCAGAGATCTCTGGGAGATGTATATAGGCCACCTTCTTTCTTATGGGGATCTTGCCTAAATGTGGTCTTATACTCTGGTGAACTCTGAGAAAAACTTAAAGTAGAAAGCAAACCATATTCTGATTCTGTAGACCTTTATAGTTTTCAAAACTTTAATGCATTAACTATTTGATTCTCACAAAAACTGAATACGGTAAAATTATAGTTTTCCCAAGATTTTCAAGTTAGAGGCAATCTTACTCCTCTGAAATCACTTTGGGAATGGTTTTGAGGCCTATGTCTTTCAGTATATTACACTAAAAATAAAATAAAACAGGAGCTGTGGCATGTCTATTCTGGTGATTGATAAAACCTTAATGTTTTTTATGTCATACTCAAAGGTAAAAAAATAATGCAGCAGAAATTCTGCCTTCTAGATAATTAAGAAGATCCCATATCCAGAATCCATAATTTTCAATGATCAATTCTGTACCTGAGATCCACATTTCCCTTAAGGAAATCAAATTCTTTTCGAAAGAATGAAGTTAAATGCTCTATTTTGTAAAAAATTACTTCTACTGAAGATAATGACTGGGTTTTAAACAAAATTAAGAAATACTGTTGCTAATTATACGATATTCATAATGTCATGTGAAAACAGATGGGAAGTGTGATGACTTGCAATCAAAACCCACTTACTGTTAGTTGCTAAAGGTTACTAAGACGGTGAAGAGTTAGTATTCAAGCAGGTTAATGCACTTTGCCAATTATTTAGTTCATGAGAAAAATTTATGAACAAGACAAAAAATGAATAATCTAATTCTGAACACACATGAACATTTTTCCAAATTATGTGAAATGGTTCTTTGCATGAAAACAGCTATAATAATTTTCATTATTATACATACAACATGAAAAATGTTTTAGTGGCATGTTTGCAAGCTTATAGCTAAATTTCACAAGAAACATACATTTATTCTAGTGGTAACTAGGAATTTCATAAAGAAATAAGGTTAAGTAGCCATGGAGGTGAAGTTAGTGAACTAAATTCTACAATGAAGGAGAGATTATCAGTTACAATCACCATAACTCACCACCATAAACCTCAGTGTCACTCAAATTAGCAGCTATAGTGTCATTCAATTCATCCACTGAAATAAACAGAATATTATGAAGAATGTAAAAAGTAGGGGAGAAGGTATTGCAAGAAAAAATACTGGGCAATGAAAGCAAACACATCCAGCTATGCTGACCAAGTGCCATCCCTACCAACTAAAAACAGTGCTTTACATTGTACATGACTAACTCATTAATTTACTCAGTCACCCCCAACCAGCATTTTGTGAACATATAACTGAAGCTGTAGGTTTGCCCATTGAAGGCCTCATGGGGCATAAATCACACGCAAATGCGCAGAACTTCAAGTGAATTCACAAAGCTATCGGGAAAACAGTAACGTTAATGATAGCAAAAATTGCAGAGTATTTAGGGTATGTATGCATGCTCTTTATAACACATACAGCAGCACTTTAGTCACTATTCACAGGTAGTTTCCTGATCAATGAATCCGTTTACTTCAGTCAGTAGTACTTAATGGTTAATATGTTTTACACATGATTGAAAGACAGATGCAGGGAGCTAAACACTTACCTAAAACCACCTTCACAGAAATAGGTTGCTTCTGCTGTATGGTTTGAGTGTGGTTAAATCTGGCGTAACAGATGTAGTCTTCTCGGGAATCCTCTGGGAGAACATTGGAAAAATAAAGGTCTCCATTCAGACCCTGGGAAACCCTCTCGCTCTGTGGAAGTCTTTGAAAGGCTGGGGAAAGGCAGAGAGACAGCCGGTCCATTCTATCATTATAGCGACCACTTTCCAAATTAGCAAGACAAATGAATCTACCACTAGTTCTATGTATTATTAAATCTCCAATTGTACCTGTGGACCCTACTTTCTCTGGATTAGGACAGAGATGAGATTAGAGTTGTACAGTGAAGTGTTTTATTAAGCAAGTGTAAACCAGAACAAAAAGAGTTTGTGTGACTTTTCGTAATATTTAAGTTAATCCCTAAATATGCATATAGACACACATGCCTTAGAATATGCATTAAGGAAGCTTATAAGGATATTAACCTGGGTTTCATCTTCACAAATGGCCAGACATCAAATACTGTGAGAGCACCTACCTGTGAACTAGGCCCTGTGCAGGTGTCGGGCATAACAGGATCCTTACCCTGTCTGAGCTTGTCTAACTGAAGAATCAGGCAGCAAAAGGGCAATTAACAAAAGGGTGCAATAATGACACTATTTAATGCTGCAGACATGCCCCTAAGAAGCCCGCCTCACCCAGCCTTCCTCACCTCCTCTACTTTTTCTTTTCTGAGTTACGTAGCACCTTCTAACATACAACATATTGCATTTGTCATATCCATGGCTTACTGCCTGTCTCCCCGTGCCAGAATTCAAGTTCCAGGGGGACAGAGACTACCGCCTGCATGTCTACCGAGTAGCACTGAAGCTGCACCTTTCCCTGCATAGGAGCTCCCTAATTAAATCAGCAACTGTCAGCTTCGTGTTTAACCATTTACTTCCTCTCAGGTCCAGTCGAGGAACTGTCTAGCTTCAGGCATGAAGGGAAGCTTTTCTAAGTTGATGAAGGATGCAGGGAGGTGGGACCACTGATCTGGGCGTGAATTTACACTGGGCTGGCTAGCATGCATCCTGAAGCTTCTGACTCAGTCCACAGAGTCTAGACTGGGAGAATTCTTCAGCTTTGAAGTGAAAGAACTAGGAAAATTGCACATCCCCGGACCTGGGCCAGGTTGTATGGGACCAGAGGATTTCTCCAGTCCGAGTCACCGCTGTGTTCCTCCTGCAGCAGGTGCCCTATCTAACATTTCACAAAAGGCAAACTTATGGTTCAAAGCCTGCAGCTCCCCCTCTGGGCAGAAAACATGGCAGAGAAATGTGGAGCCAGAGCCAGAAACAGGGCTGGTTAGCCATGTTAACAAAGTTTCTGGTCAAGATGCAAATTTGGCTGGTGATTGTAAATTCATGGTTTTGAGTCACTAATCCCTAGGGAAAGAATTGTTTTAAAAATAACTCATAAAAATAATGTACATTTATTTAGTGAATACAGAGAGTCAAAGATAAGCATGCATTTATTCTCTTCCATTTCTCCTGCTGTATTTTATTACTGACGGTGGTCAGTAGATCAAATTAAAGTGCCCACTGAATTCCTTTGCGTTACATTTAAAAAAATGTATGCAGATAGAATAACTTGATGTCATCTTGCAAGAAGGATGCTATACAGGTCTGAATTTTTCTCATATTCCAGATGCAATTTTATTTGAAAGATCCAGATGATATGCCAACAGTCTAAAATGTATGTAAATGACATAGCGAGCAGTGCAATATGGAAAAAAATTAGTTATTTATTCAGATGATTCTGAAACTATACATGTGCATGTATTTTTACTAAGTGAAAAGGTCATCATTTCTGAATAAGAACCAAGGACCAAATACTGGCCTCCCTTGGCAGTGACATTTAGATACTGTTATTCTCAATGTCATACACCAGACATTTACATTTGATTTATTGCTTATTGTTTCAAAATCAGTAAAAGCAATAATGGGAAAGATATGTTTGCTCATTTACTCATGTATATGTTTATTTTCCATTTCTTCATGATACTTTCTCTGAGTGCTTTCAAATAAGAGTCAAAATGGAAATTATATGTTAGAGCTAAATTTTATTTTTGGTAATATGTACAGCACGTGACTTCAGAAGAAATCATGTCATTGAGAATAAAATATATTCCCAACAAATATTTCGCTTGCATTGCCACCATTACACCTAGAGGACTCCTATCAAAGTCAACAGGAACCTCCATGTTGCCCAAATTCAGTAGTCATTTCTCAGTCAGATCAGAAGTTATATGATTTACCAGCAGCATTTGAAACAGTTGATTATTCTGTCTTTTTTTTAAAAAAAATTATCTTTATTGTTGAAAGTATTAAAGAAATCCCACCACTACCACCATTGCCCCCCTCCACCCTGCTCCTGCCCCCTCCTGAGGCCCTCATCACACTACTGTCTGTGTCCACGGGTTATGCATATAAATTCTTTGGTTAATCCGTCCTGTTCTGTCTTGTCTTGTTCTGTCTTCTTTAACACTCTTTCTTTGCTCTCTCTTTGTTCTCATCTTACCACAGTGACAGCTCCTTCTCGTCTATTTTGCTGGTTTCTCCCTAAATTCTTGGTTCCCGGAAGGTGCCTGGTCTCAGTCCCCCAGGCGTTGCTCTTTACCACCTGCACTCTCTCCCTCCCGCCCTTCTCTCCTCCAGCCCTGGCTCTAAGAAACTCCTAAGGCAAACACTGCTGACTGGAGCTCTGAATCTTTTCCTGACTCTTGTAGCCCTGACCCCTGCTGGGCATCTCCCCATGGATGTCTCATTAGCGTCTCATGTTTAAAGTCCTGATTTCTCACGTTTAAAGTCCTGATTTCCTGGTTTCCCAGCAGAACCATGTGGGGCCCACCTGTAAGGTAACATGCTAACCCCGTGGTCGGCAAACTGCGGCTCGTGAGCCACATGCGGCTCTTTGGCCCCTTGAGTGTGGCTCTTCCTAAGCCTTAGGAGTACCCTAATGAAGTTAATAACAATGTACCTACCTATATAGTTTAAGTTTAAAAAATTTGGCTCTCAAAAGAAATTTCAATCGTTGTACTGTTGATATTTGGCTCTGTTGACTAATGAGTTTGCCGACCACTGTGCTAACCTATTAGTACAGGAGATTTTGGAGGGTGGAGAGGCAGAGCAATAAAAATGTCCCACAAGGACAGGGACAGGTGGACAAATGTTAAATTGCCTAATGGATTATTTTTTTTTTAATATATTTTATTGATTTTTTACAGAGAGGAAGGGAGAGAGATAGAGAGTCAGAAACATCGATCAGCTGCCTCCTGCACATCTCCCACTGGGGATGCGCCCGCAACCCAGGCACATGCCCCCGACCGGAATCGAACCTGGGACCCCTCAGTCCGCAGACCGACGCTCCATCCACTGAGCCAAACCGGTTTCGGCAATTGCCTAATGGATTATTACTTCATGTCTCTGTGCTTTGGTTTTCTCATCTAAAAAGTATACTTCATAGGGTTGTTGTAAAAAATTGATGAGATAACCCATGCAAAGTCCTTAGCAAAGGCACTTAATAAATATCCAATAAGTATTAGCTGCTGTTGGGGGTAAAAAAACACACAAAAAGTGGGGGAAAAATCAAACAGCTTGATTTCCTCTCCTCTATGGGCTTCTGCTGTTTCGGGAAATGACATGACAATTCCATTTTACCAGTTGTTCAGTCCTGTAGTTATCTTTGATTCCTCTCTCTCATGCCTCCCATCCGAACCTCAATAAATCCTAGAGGTTCTACCTCCAAATCCAGAATCTGACCATGTGTTACCCACTGGACTGCCACTACCCGAGTCTGAGTTGCCATCAAGTCTAGAGTAGAGCAGCGGCCTCCAAACAAGGAGGCCTACTCTCCCTTTGTCCTCTCTATTGTCCATACATGAACAGAAGTGATGTTATTGCTGTTTGTTTTGTTTCAGGTAAAGTCACTCCCTCAATGTCTCCTACTTCATTCAAAGCAAAACCAAAGCCCTCTGCATTGAGCCCATGGGCTTTTCTAACCTTTCCTATCACTCTCCCCTTTGACTCACTGAGTCTGGCCCCACTGGCCTCCCTGCTGCCTTTTACACACACCAGGGTGCTCCTGCCTTACAGGCTTGTGCCAGGTTTTTCCTTTGCAACCAAATATTTAGGGGCCTGTTTTGCTCTCATTCCATTAATTCTCTGCTTAAAGCTCTGCTGATTTTCCTTCCTAGTATTGATTGCTGACACATACTTTCAACAGGCATTTATTGTCTGCTTCCTTCTCCATGCCCATCTATTCCTACGGCATAGAATATAAGCTCGGGGAGAGGAGGAAATTTGTTTGGTTTATTTAGAGCAGTGCCTGGAACATAGTAGGTGCTCAACAAAATCAAATGAATGAATGAAATGACATTTATTTCAATGAGCATTTATTTTCCTGGGCATCTCTAAAACATTTTATAAACATTTTATGAATCACAAGAGATAATAATTTACTTTGACAACAAATAATTGTCAGACTCTCGAAGAAAGAAATTCATATTATTGAAACTTACAATTATCCATCCAGAATATTATAGCTGGTGGTAATCCAATGGGAGGTCTGCAGGGAAGTACCAAAGACTGGCCACTTCGAAGTGTGATTGGTTCAAGTTTTTCTTTGGTCCACAATGGTGACCCTATGATATGAAATAACAACTTCTAAGTTATTTCTGCATTGAAAAAGAAAAAGAGCACTAGAAAGACAAACTAAACTTTTGGGAAAATTGTAACTCAGCATTTGTGTACATTAAGATAACAAGAAAATAAATTTTAAATACAGTGTTGAAAGTAAAAAAAAAAGAGAGAGAAAGACAATTTTCATTCTCTGCCATTATTAGTATAAATTCTGAGTCAGTGATTCCAAGCCTAAGAGCTTATATTAAATAAATCATCAAGAAGATACCTAATAATTTCATTACAAGCATGTTCTTTACAAAAGAATGGAAAACACTTAAACGGCCAAAGACGTGTAAAAAAAACAAATAACATAACTATACACCTACACCTTTTAATATCGTACAGTATTATATAAGTATACTTATTGATAAAACTGATGTGAGACTATACATATCGTAGTTAAGTCAGAAAAGGTTATAAAATAGTACTTCAGAATGAGCTCATTTTAAACACATACAAACATATCTAGAAAAAAAGCAGTAATTATTTTCTTGAATGGAAGAATTCATGAGTAACTTTTAAATTTATTTTTTACTTGGAATTAATTTTTTATATAATGAACATATATTACATATGTAATTTAAAAAGCTTTTGAAATGATTAGAACGGCCAATGGTCATTTTTCTTGAAATACATGCTCTTGCGCTGTTGAGAGGATTTGGGTATAGAACACTGCAAAAACAGCCACGTAACAGCAAGGTAGTGAGGCCACTCTATTTCTACCTGAATTTTGAAACAAGAATGTTTTAAAAAGATAACACTTACACCTCATCACCCATTTCATACTGAATTTCTTCCATCTGGCTGTAGGAAGTTTGTTTATACATACAATACATAAAAAATTAATAATTAGATCAATTTGGGAAAGAAACACTTTTCTTACCCCTGGTGTTGTTGTTTTTTTTTTTATTCTGGACTTATATAAAAGACATGCTAGACTGACAAAGAATTAGGCTGAGGAACTTAGGGTAAAGTGGAAAGGAGCAATAATTTTTATGCAAAACGAAGTCAGATTATTGGAATCAATGCTATTACTAGTATATACTCGTAATAGTATTTGGATGACGTAAAAGATGCTGAGTCTCAGAGCCATGCTTTAAAAAGATCCACCTGTTGGTGGACAGGTCCCACTTACTGGATGGACGAACAACGATGTTATTAGAAATTGCAGCTCCACGTTCGTTCCTGGCTGTACACTGATAGACTCCTTCGTAGGTCTCCGCTTTTCCTTCACCCATAATGTTAATTATGAGGGTTCCTGAGCCAGCCTTCATGGTGACGAGAGGGTCTTTATCTATGTCAAAATGAGTCCCATTTCGGGTCCAGGAGAAGCTGCCCAAGACATAAAAACAGGATTACGTACTCTTTAACAAGTTCCTAGTAGTTTATGCGTTTTCAGAAATAGTTATTAGATTTTGATATTCCGTAAAAGAGCAATAGGCTTCACACCTAAAATATTTCATTGAATCATGACTTACAAAAGAGTGCTGGCCACACATTTTAAGGTACATGTCTTCATTAGAACTATCCAAAATCTGACTCAATAAAGAAATCATGCACACAAATTGCCTGTCAGTTTTCAAAGAAATACAGAAAGGAGGCCTCCTAGGCACACTATCTTAGCGCTTCATTAGCATTTTCATTGTCAACTCCATTGTTCATAGAGTTGACCTATCTACAACAATTTGCTCTGGGCTGAAATGGGACAAGGAAGGCCTTCACAAGTAATCAGACAAGTTTCAAATTGCCAAAGTGCAAAGTGTAGGATGGGAAGAAATACGAGTTCAGTGGCATTTTAAATGTTGGTTATTAAAAGTGGTAAATCTATATATAATGTATTTTGAGAAATGTTTAATTCTAGAGATAATTTTATAAATTCCATAGGCAGTATTTCAAATTATCAACTGAAATTCTTCTTTCTCAGTTTTATTTATATAGAAGATTTTCTTATATAAAAGTCACAGTGCTCGTGTAACTAAACACTTTATAACTAGTCACAAGGACCATGCTCACACAAAGGGATACATCTCTAAACTTCACTGTTTTCCAGGACCGCTTGGATTTCCCTTCTCACTGCTCTCCTTGTAGTAAGAGTTGTGACAACTGCTAGGGTGGGAGGCAGTGTGGTGGGTGCCACTGTCATATACTCAGTACATGTTAGAGCAGTGATGGCAAACCTTTTGAGCTCGGCGTGTCCGCATTTTGAAAAACCCTAACTTAACTCTGGTGCTGTGTCACATATAGAAATTTTTTGATATTTGCAACCATAGTAAAACAAAGACTTATATTTTTGATATTTATTTTGTATATTTAAATGCCATTTAACAAAGAAAAATCAACCAAAAAAATGAGTTCCCGTGTCACCTCTGACATGCGTGTCATAGGTTCGCCATCACTGGGTTAGAGATTCTGCTAAATAACCTACAATGCCCAGGACAGCCCCCATTCCCACAACAAAAAATTATCTGTCCACAATATCAATAGTGCTGAGATAAAGCACATGTAAAACTAAAGGGAACTCCACCAAATTATATCATGTTAGGGCTTGAGTGTTAGAGTGTTTCTAATATGTTAGACTATATTGTTTTGAAGCAAGCCTTTGATGAAAGATTTTTATATACTTCAGTATTTAGTATACATTAATTTTTTCCTCAGGTGCTAGTCTGTGCTAGTTTTGTAAGGCCAGCAATAGACAAATTCAGAAATAAAATATTTGAGATTCAAGACGGTGGCAGATTAGATGGAAGCTATACTCACCTCCACCCAGGACCAAACTGGAGTTTCAACTAAAGTATAGGAAAATCACCCCAAAGAACCAACTGAAGACCAGCTGGAGAAAAGTCTTATAGCCAAGGACTTGGAGAGGAGGACACATGGAAACTGGTAGTAGGTACGGAGGTACAAGAGGGATGTCAGGGCACTCACAGGCAGTAGCTGAAGTTCTAGAAGGATATCTCAGCTGTGCGAGGGTTCCCCCTGAGAAACGTGGGGTCTAAACCCCAAGCCAGACTCTCCAGGCAAGAGCTCCAGAACTCAACCATGTAGTCTGGTTCATTAGTCCAGACAAATGATAAACAAAGGGAGAACCTCTCTCCTGTTCAAGGAAAGAAGCCTACATAACATCTGGCTGGGAAAAGCAGGCTTGATCCCAGGGAGAGATGGCTAGAAAGGCGGGCACCCTCTTAAAGGGCCAATGCACAAAATTTCATTTGTAGTCACTCACCCTGGGATCAAGTGGAGGGAGGGAAGAGTGGCCTAGAGCTGTGTGAGGAGTCTGGGGTTGGTGGCACTGGGAAGAGAGCTGAGAGTCATTCCCCTACGCTGCAGAAGCCATCTTTCTCAGGCAAAACATTCCCCTCCATGCAGCATCAGCCTGGGGGGGAAGCAATAGCTCCAACAATTGGAAGCGCTCTCACACCACCCTGTGGACCTTCTCACACCATACATAAGAATAGCAAACTCAAAATGGATATAAGACTTAAATGTTAGACTGGAAACCATAAAAATTTTAGAAGAAAACATAGACAGTAAAATCTCAGACATTCCACTGAATGGGAGAACATATTTGCTGATACATCTGATAAGGGGTTAATATCCAAAGTTTATAAAGAACTCATGCAACTCAACACCAAAAAAAAATCAAACAATCCAATTAAAAAATGGGCAAAGGACCTGAATAGACACTTCTCCAAAGAGGACATATGGATGGCCAATAGACATATGAAAAGGTGCTCAAAGTCATTGATAATCAGAGAGATGCACATTAAAACGACAATGAGGTATCACCTCACACCTGTCAGAATGGCTACCATCAACAAATCAACAAATGACAAGGGTTGGTGAGGTAGAGAAAATTGAATCCTTGTGCACTGTTGGTGGGAATGCAGATTGGTACAGACATTGTGGAAAGCAATATGGAGTTACCACAAAAAATTAAAAATGGAACTGCCTTTGACTTAGTAATTTGACTTCTTGGAATTATCTTAAAAAAAACACAACAACCCTGAAATACTAATTCAAAAGAATATGCGCACCCCTATGTTCACCGCAATGCTATTTACAATAGCCAAGATTTGGAAGCAGCCCAAGTGTCCATTAGTAATTATTGAATAAAACAGCTATGTTACATTCACTCAATGGAATACTACTCAGCTGTAAAATGGAAGAAAATTTTACCCTTTGCAACAGCATAGATTGACTTGGAAAACATTATGCTAAGTGAAATAAGCCAGTTAGAGAAAGACAAATACCATATGATTTCACTCATGTGGAATTTAATGAACAAACTGAACTAACAAGCAAAATAGAAACAGGCTCTTACATAGGGAGCAGGCAGACAGCTCTGGTGAGGGGAGGGTTCAGAGGTGGTGATGAAGGAATTGAGCAAATAATAAAAAGAAAGAAAGAACTCATGGACATAGACAACAGTGTGGTGATTGTGGTGGGGGGAGGTGGAAGAAGGCATAGGGGGGATAAATGGTGATGAAAAATAAATTAAATAAATAAAAATAAAAAAGAGGTTTTTAAAAAATTGCAAATCATGTATCTAATACAGGACTTGTACCTAGAATATATAAAGAACTCTCACAACTCAATAATTAGAAGACAATTCAATTAATAAATGAGCTAATTATTTAAATAGATATTTCACCAAAAAGAGATATAGAAGTATTTAATAAGCATATGTAAAGGTGTTTCCTGTCATTACTATTAGAGAAATGCAAATTAACATCTTTTCACACTCACTAGAATAGCTAAAATCAAGACAGACAATAACAAATGTTGGAGAGGATGGGGAGAAATAGGAACATTTATACATTGCTGATGGGGATGTAGAATGGGAGAGCCACTTTGAAAAATGGTTTGGTAGTTTCTTAAAAGTTAAACATATACTTATCATACAACCCAGCAATTCCACTCTGAAGTATCTACCCAAGAGAAATAAAACCAAATGTCTACACAAAGACTTGCACAGTATGTTCATTGTGGTATCATTCATAATAGCCAAACATTATGCCAACTGAAAGATGCCAAATGTACATAAGGGTACATGTTATATTCAATTTAGATGAAATCTATGGAGAAAGAAATTAGATTAGTGCCTGAGGCTCAGGGTAGAGGGGAGATTTATTGCGAAAGAGCATAAGGGAACTTTGGAGACAATGGAAAAGTTCTAAAACTGAGTGGGGATTGTTGCACAACAGCCAATTGGTTAAAAATAAGCAAACACAATGGGTAAATTTTATGGTATATAACTAAAGGATATATTTTTGTTAAAAAAAGAAAGAAAAAATTTAGAAATTTTCACTTTTTATTATTTAAAAATCCATATTACATTTTCATAATAATAACCTAACTCTCCCAAGCTCCTATATATATTACTGGATAAGTTACTGATCATCCACTAATTAACTGTGGAATCGTGGGTAAGATATCTAGAATTACTAGGGATCAGTTTCCCACCTATAAAATATATTCATTGAACCAGATAATCTCTAGCATCTCTCCCAACTCTAACATGCCATGCAGTGCTCATTGCAAGATCCATTTGGAAAATCTTGAGTTACTGAACCCAGCCAAGTTAGTAAACCTACTTAAGCCTATTTTATAGACCTCTCTAGAGATAGGAAGGATCTGAGAAATCATCAAATTCAAGTTCTTTACTTTACAAATAAAGATGCTGAGGCCCAGGGAAGAGGGATTTGCCTATGTCACAAGGCCATTAGAGCCACTAGAACACTCTTTCCACATCTCCCCACAATTTTTGAGCATTTTACAGAAGGGCACGAATACAGAAATGCTATCTGGGTTTCCAAAAAAGGACAGACTGTAAGTAGAGAGACAAAACGGTGAACCTACAAATGATACTTGGAAGATGTGCAGGACCTGAAATGAAGGTCAGTGTTAGTGCCAGTGCTTACTCTCAGTACCGTGACACCCACCTGGGAGGAGGCTTCCCTTTGGCCTCACATTGGATTACAATATTCTCTCGAGGGTCAACAATGTAATCTTTTGGAGACTGTTGAGTGATGGTTGGAGGTTGTACCACTTAATTGTAGAAAGAAGAACAATGTAAAGAAATAAATCACTTAATATCATAATAGCCATCATTTTTTTCTATATCAAATCACTTACCCCAGACTAAATATGCTTCAAATGCTTTTTGTAATGTCTATGGTGGCAGCACCTGCCCCAGTCGATTCTAACCAGCAGTCTCCTAAAACTTTGAAGTCAAGGAATGACTTCCTTTGGTAACCCATATGTACTCACAAAGCCCATTTTCCCCCACTAAAAGATTGGGAAAATAATTACCAATACAAGTTTAATATTAGGACAGTTTCTTTTCTGATGTAACAATGAGAATTTGCTCTAATTCCTTTGGTTCAAACAGGCCTTTCAATGAAATTTAAGTGATGATGCTAATTTGCATTTCTTAGTAAAGAGTAGCTGACTTATGCTCATTAGTGAGCTGATGTATGTTAATATACAGGGTGGGGCAAAAGTAGGTCTACAGCTGTTTATATGGAATATTATACAATAGTTAATAAATAATAATACAAGAATAAACTTTGTGTTTCTCATACTCACAACTGTAAACCTACTTTTGCCCCACCAGGTATGTTGTGAACAAATAAATTTGAGAACTGAATGTTTAAAAGATGGTTAAGTTAGAGACTGGACATGTCTTATTAGAACTAGGATGAAGGTGGCTAGTAAGAACAAAGGTAAAAGTCTTATTTAGAAGATAAATAGATTTGGGAAGTTCTCTGTTACAGGAGATAATATTTTCATTCCACTCTTCAAAGTGTTATGTGATTATTTATTATCAAATCATAGGGCAAACTGTTATTGACCCAGAGTAATTTAATCTGAAGAAAGCTGGTTTCTGGACATCCAACACTCAATTCACTCTAAAATTACCATGTTCTTTTTGTGAAATCAGAATCAGGAGTGCTAGAACAGGGGAGGACTAGAGCAAGTATTGATTTCAGCTTATTGTTTTGCTTAGGGCAGCAACTAGGCTTGACGAGGAAGGCACACAGCAGAGAAAAGAGCCAAACTCTCCTGGTAGCAACCACTGACTTGCGTCTCCATGGAGAGCCATTCATATGGACCAGAGTTCCTCAACCAGGGCAGTTTGCCCCCATCCCTTGGGGGGACATTTGGCCATATCTAGAGATGATTTTGGTTGTCACCTCTGAGACTAGGGGTGGTACTGGCATCTGTTATTGCAGAAGCCAGTGGTGCTGCTAAACATTTTACAATATATAGTGCCCCGCTCCGGAACAAAGAGTTGTCTCAATCATTGAAGTCTTTCATATTCTCGACCTACCCTTTCCTTTGCCCATGCTCTGTGCCTCCTTTGGGAAACTCTTCCACTGCCACCCAAGTGTTTCCCTAAGCTTAATAACTGCGCTCTGCTCTTGCCTTTCTTTACTGTGGCGAATTGTGGCCAGAGCTAAATTTATCATTTCCACATCTAATGTCTTATAAACCTGCAAATATGGATCTCTTGTGTTGCTTGGTCTCCAGCCTTGTGCTGTCCACCAGACATCTTTTACTAAATATCCAAATGACACCTAAAAACAGGTCAAAAGATGAACCCATCGCTGTCTCTTTTTTTTATTGTGCACCTATTAAATGCAGGATACTGGACAGTATCAATTTCTCCTCCCTTTAGTAAGATCTGTCCCCCTCCTTGGCCTCCTGATGAGCCAGCTGCTCTTCGCAGCCTCCACCATGACACAGAAACCTCATTCTTCCAGCCCTGTCAGCTCCCGATGTTGGCTAGCAGTTTGGTCTGGTGGATAAGAACTAGTCTGTTTCTTTCTTACCAGTTTTGAGACCTCAAGCAAATTTTTTAACTTTTGTAAGACCCAGTTTCCTTAGAGAGAAAATGGGGTTTCAAAGTAGTATCTAATTCCTAGAGTCATTAGAGAATTAAACAACCTGTGTAAAATTATTAGTATATGCCAATACTATAATGGTTCAGTAATGTTAGCTATGTTTACATTATTATCACAATCATTTCTATTTGGACCAGCTTCACCTTTGAGTGATCCTGTATGCTCTGGGAGTATAGAGTTTGGGATGATGGAAAGAAACCTGGAATTTCACACCCAGGGAACAGTGAACATAGGTAATGGGTGAGGGAATTCTTAGGAGTGACTCAGCCCAATTCCTCGTTCTTTTCTGCAAGTGGTAGAGGTGGACGACTAGTGGTTTCAGACCCAGAACTTCTATTCATGTGTTTGCAATAGAATTGGCTTAGATGTCACTCCTAAGGAGTTTACCGTCTAGACCTACCTATTTGAACAGTGCTTAGATCACCTAGCAACTAACAAATGCTTTGAAGTAATATGTAAAAAAGGTGGGTTCACATAATTTTCCAGGTTAATCCAACATCAAAGGATTTTTCATTTGCCTGAAAACTCTTTTTTTAGGCAGATGATAGATGCTGTTTACCTGATGCTGGGGGGCAGCAGAAGTTTTTGCTTAGAGCCGGCCACTTGGAAACGCTGTGAGGGAGGGCTGTTTAGTGCCTTTTGCACACTTCAAAACAATATTCAAATTCCCCAGGCCATTATACCAATGGCACCTGGAAACACCTCACTACACAGTCCTCAAGCTGAAGAAGGATAAGAGGGTATATAGATGCCAATTGGATGAAGCGTCTGCATGCATCCAATTTCTAAAAGGTACCAAAAGACATGTCTGTATTCCAGCATTCCAAAAAGCATTTAGAACCAGATAGTCATTCTCTTTAAATTTAATGAATTTTCTCATTGAGTTACATCAGAAGTGAATAAAGCACAGACGTTAGTAGAACACAGTATTGGTAAATGAAAAATAGTAATACCTGAGTCTTCAGAATTCATGCAGGGGATATATTAAACGTGCTTCTTGGTATTTTAACATTTAGCCACGATAAATACACATGCTTAAAAACACGTTAGTCACAAAACATAAAATTGTGCATTTAATTCACACTATTCATTCAAAAACAAAGACATGGCCAAATTTTCGCATTGCCTGGTAATTGCCAAAAGACACTTACAGTCTTCAAGAAGTTTTGCTTTTTCCCATCAATATCAGCAGGTGAGTGGGCAAACAGGATTAAAGAAAACCAGATGTTAGTAATAAGAACGTTAGAACCCTGAAGATAAAAGGGACATCTTGACATGATTTGACCTAAAAAACTAGTATAGCAGAGCTTGAAGTTGTGAAGTGGTAGGAGAAAGAAGCTCCCATTCGTGGGTTTGTTTATTCCTGTAGCAGTTATCCCATATAACATATGGAAGAATAAAAAAAATAATTCTTCCAGGAATAAGAATGGCTGTTTCCATTCCATCCATGTTGTACTGGACAAGTAATTATGTTCAATTTGGAAAACAGCTGAAGTCTACAATTATTCTGAGTTGTCACACACTGTATAGTGTCTGATCCCATTATCCCAGACATCACTATGCACATGGTAATAACACTTAACAATGGGAACATGGCCACAATGACAATGTTCCATCCAAGACAAATCCAACACTGATTTCAGGTTTTTATATTTCTATGGTTAATACCTATATCTGTAATAAACTCTTCAGATGGTCAGCATATTTCTGCTTTCAGAATTCCTCCATCATCCAGGGATTGTCAGTAGCCACACCAAGGAGCGTCTCGTGTAGAAGGGATGTAAGGAATAGGGGCAGGGAAGCAATCACATGAGTACGCAAGTCAAATGATTCTGCAGGGCTGCCTGGCACTAGCACTTGCAAAGGTTAATGCAGGAGCCCCTGGTTGTCCGTGACTTTCTTTTCATCATGGTTATGCCTCTTCTCCATCAGCAGCAATAATTGAGTTAGCCGTAGGTGACTGTTTCCTTCTGATTGTTAGACTGAGCAGTCAGATTAAGGGGGAATAAAACATTTCTCTCCAGTGCTTTTATCTCTCTCCTACATACCTCTTAAGGCAAATGCTTACTTCAGCAATCCAACTCCAATGAGCGTAAGTAATCCTTTTTTTTTTAAATTGAAATTAAGGTAATTGAAAGAATATGTTTTGAAAATAAGCAAAACATTATATTTTTTTGTACTTTAGACTATAGAGGCACAGCAAAGGAATTCAACAAAGTGTGGGGCAAACCACATCTCTTCCTAATGTCTTTCCACTGGCAGTTGCACCTCTTTGGCAAAAAATGACATCCCAACAATCGAATAGCCCCGGGAAAGTACTATCTTCCTTGCACCTTGGAAAGCTTGCCAAACGGATGTTCTATTCAGGAAGCTAATGGATTTAAGGAAGTCATGCAGATTGGGGATAAAGAATAAATCAATTCTGAAGTTTAGTAATTGTCCAGATCTGAAATTCTAATTTCAGTGCAGGAAAAGTGATCAGTTGAAACCAAGTGTTATCTTCATTTTTCATAAGTAGGCCACACAGACCAGGGAGAGTCCAGCATATACTTAACTACTAGGAAAAGAGTAGGCTAACACAGTAGCTGTTCTTGCTCTATTTTAAACAGTGTTTTGCAGATGACTTGTTGTATTTTCAAAATTTACATCTTGAGCCTGGCAGTGTGGCTCAGTGGTTGAGCAGTGACCTATGAACCAGGAGGTCATGGTTCAATTCCTGGTCAGGGCACATGCTGCAGTTTCGGGCTTGATCCCCAGTAGAGGGCATGCAGGAGGCAGCCGATGATGTTTCTCTCTCATCATTGATGTTTCTCTCTCTCTCTCCCTCTCCCTTCCTCTCTGAAATCAATAAATTATATATAAAAAGAAAAATTAAATCTTGATCTTTGTTTTTTAAACAAAGGATGCTTTAGATAAGATGCATTTCCTATATCTAAATTAATATTTAAGATTCAACAATCAAAGGTGAATTTTGTCTTGCTTGAAGAGAAATGAATTATGCATAGTTTGGGGATGTAGAAGTGGTGTGGGGTTGGCTGAGAGACTACCCCCCATCTTTTCCAGAGCACTCAGTATATGAGAGGGTGGAGAAGTGGGGAGGGTGTAAGTGGGGAGGTCTCCACGATCATTTTAAAGTAATTCATGTAGTTTTCTTGCAGGACTCCTTCTATAAAGAGTCCCCTGTGGGGAGGATCAGGGCAGCCCGCAATTCACTCCTTCTCAGGCCAGCCCCTGCCCCCTGGTACACAAAAGGCACCTGGGGGCGCAGAAAGATAATGACAGGGCGGGTGCAATGTGTCTGATCGTTTCCATGGCCATTTCTCTGGTGCGGTTCTTTATGAACACCAGGTGCTGAAGGTAAAAGCCAAATTAATTTTGATTAGCTTTTCAGTATCACACAGACACCTTCTCCATTCACACAGTTCAGAGTAACGGTAAATGCTGGGGAGGTTTTGACTCCCGGGCCTAAAAGCTTTAAAACGTTAATACTTACAATCGAGAGGCACGTCCAGTGCACTAATCATCTGGCACAGGAAGAGAATCAGGGGCACTCTGCCTGCAGATAAGCGCTTCTTTTTCGGCATTATTTCCAGCTGCATTAGCTTAACTCCTGCTGAGACCCACAAGCTGAATTTCCTTTTCTTCTCTCACAAAAGATGTGTGTGCAATGTCTAAATAATTTTCATGCAGGAAACTGAAAAAGGACAGAATAAAAATTATAGTGTATTAAAAAGAAGGAAATGAAGAGCGGAAACCGGCAGCAAAGAAAATCAGTCCTGGATTATACATGAACTCTAAAAGCGAGCTAATTTTTAAATATTTAACTCTCGGGACTAGAATGATCATTTATTCATAAAGCAGCTGAAATCAGGTCAGAAATATTGGCAGTGATGCTAAGCAAAAATCTGTCTGCTCTGCTATCTTTATTTTTCCATTTTATTTTTTACTTATTTTTTATTTTTTTATAATATTTTTTATTGTTGATAGTATTACAGCTATCTCCCATTCCCGCCCGCCCTCCCTTACCTCCCTCCTCCTAGCCCCTACCCACCCCTCAGGGTCTCCACTACCCTATTAACTGTGTCCATGGGCTATGCATGTAAGATTATAAGTTTCTTGGTTTCTCTCTTCTGGTCCCCACAACCCCACGTTGAGATATGTCAGTCTGTTCCATGTCTCCGTGCTTCACATTTTTTTGGTCAATTCATTTCCATTTTAAATATCTGCATTCACATCAGAGCCTGCCATGCCGTTCACACAAACTTGACTTGTAAGTCAGTTAGGAAGTGTGATGTTAGAGGGGAGGCCTATTGGCTACTCCATTCTAGATTATTTCTGGGAAACTTCAGGGCATTGTTGCAAATTTGCTTCAAACCCCACACTGATTTACCAGCTGAACTACTGACAATTCAGGCCTTCCCGTCTTTTACTTAGACTAGGGCAGCAGATATGCCTGGGCTCTGCGTTCCAGGCCTTCCTCACTGAAGCCACCCTCCTGAGCACTGTTAATTCTTTCTAAAGGGTCTTCTGTGGTTAAATATTGGGAGTAGCCACATGGGATCTACCAAATAGAGTTCAATATATCCTTAAACAGGTAATTAAAAAAACCCTTAATAATTTGGCTACATTTTATCCTACCAACCTTATCTGTCCCTATTTCCACATAACTTTTGTTTTGTTTGTTTGATGGTCTGTTTCTTTCTTAGGTCAATACCTTGAATTTTTCCTCCTTTTTGTCTTATCTATTCTATTCCTTCTCCCTGGAGTGCCCATTCCACCATATTTCCTTATAAAAGTCCAATTTATTTCTGTATAGATCTGTTAAAATTGAAACATTAGCTGATCATTAAAACTAGAAGTCATTTTCCCCCTAAAAAAATCCTGAAATTCCTTACTTTAATCATCACATGTTAGATAGATAGATAGATAGATAGGGAATCAAATAGATTTTTTTTTTATATTCATGCTCTCTACCCTACTCCTTTAGGCCTCTCCCATCTTTGTATCCCTCTCCCTTCATGTAACCTAGTGTGCCTTGCACATTAACTGTTTACTGTCCACAGGAGAACATGAGCACAAACACAGAATACAGACATGTTTTGCTAGCAACTGAGTTCTGATATAAACCTAATTACTATTGTAATTGGACACTTCTTGCTAAATAAATAAATAAATAAATAAAAGAATTTACTGTGCTAAATATAGATATTATACATATATACATATTTTATGAATGAAACATCCATATTGTGTAGTTTCATTTAAGAACTAGAAAATTGGCTTTCCATAATATAATATATAAACAATCAGGCCCATTAAGCATTGAGAGGCAGGTATAGAAGCTCACACAACCATTTCTAACCCAAATACAAACCAGACTGTCTTTCTGTGTGTGCAAAGCATATCTACATCAATTAGCCAAATCTACTTATGTCTCTCATGACCTTCTGTTAAATTGCTAACTTTGAATTTGCTCATAAGCTTCAGGGAAAATGACAATACCTAGCATAAATGGCACTAAAACAAGTGGATGTACATACTACACATATTCAGAGGTAACCACAGAATCAAACATTGAGAAAACAAATGGCACACCTGCCTGATTTATGTGTCAGAGTAATTGAGTTTATTCAACTTAAGTGCCTCGATCTCTGAATAGGTGCTGGAGAACTGAAACACTTTCTCAAAGGTGTACTAATACGTTATAATGCTCATAAAATCTTAAGCAACCACATACAATTTCTGTTTTAAGTTCTTCATTTATTATTTATTTTTCCTGGATGCCTTAACTAGTCGTCCTTCAAAATCGAGAAAACCATTAGACAACTTCAAATAAAAGTATCATTCAACCTGCTTTACCTTTTAAGAGTATATATATGGAACAAAATATCGCATTTTAAATCACAGTGTTGCATAAAGAAAAAAAATTAAGAAAAATTGAGAAAGCACTTACTTAAAGAGCCAGGAGTAAATCCTCACAATGAGAGAGGCATGAACTATGACAATTGAAAATGTGGTCTCTCTTCCAAGAAGTTGTAAGTTAACTGCACCAGTAGCCACGAAATTGTGTCCAGGATAGGTTCTGTTTGAGGAGGACAAAGCAATGGCTCAGCCCATCCTCTGAAGCCTGCCCCTGGAAATTCACTCACTCCTCCTACGTATGCTGTCATAGGTGAAAAACCCAACGCCCAAGGACAGCATTAAGTCCCCAGCACTCAGTCAAAGTGCAAATCCAATACAGCTACAAGAAATTACGCTTGCTCTCTGTAAGAGTAATGTGTGCTGCACGTCTCACAGAGAAACACCACTGCTTCTGCACTCAATATTGATGTCAACGCCCTGCCCTGCCAGGAGCCCATCAGCCTTGTAGTTTACCTTGAAAAATGATGGTCATTCTCTCGTACATGAGAACCATGAACAAAAACTAAATTTTTCATACAATGACATTCGAATAAATAAAACCCCAATATGAAATAGCAAGTCATGTGTAGTCAAAGCTAAAGAGTATGTGAGTACAATATAGCTTGTAATTTGGAAAAAAAAATATTTGCCACAGACATTTTAAAGCATGCTGGAATGAAACACATGGTAGGTTCATCTTTGGAATATAAATCACCCTGATATTTGAAACCACATATATTGTTAAAATGACCCAGACTAATGATAAACAATAAAGCCTTTTAATATTTCATTTAATGCCATTCAAAGCAACTTTTCACACTTGAACTCCAGAACCTCTTACCTCCTTTCTTCAGTAAACTTTTCATCATTAGAAAAGATATACAATTCAAGGGCCCCTTACTTCTTTTAGCCCAAAATTCATATTAAATCATACAGCAAATATTCCCCTGCATTATTTACGGTACATATATATATATATATTTAAAAACCTAAAGCTGTTATTAAGCCTAAGAAACATAGCTCTTGTGTTGTTTACTTAAAAAGTCTTGTCATTAGAAAGAAAAGAAAATATTTTTCTTTCAAGTGAAAGATAAAATTAGTTTAATTAAAAAACTGGGAGGCCAAGCATTACTTACCATTTCATTCTAATCTGTACTTTTGAGCATCCCAGCACGGGTGGTTTAATGCTGACTGCACAACGCAAGATGACCCACTCTCTGAGCCAATTAACTTGTGACTGGATGCTCCTTGGCATACTCATCATTGCTCTCCTGACTCATCAGGGGCTGGCCTCAGTGACTGGATAGCAAGCCGTGTGGGACATTATCTTCACTGTGAAAGGCATTTTTCAGCAGTGAACCTGAGGATGGTTACTTTTTATATTTTGTTCTGTATTTACCAATAAGCACACGAATGCCCATTTCTAGCCCATACCTGTGCTTTTCAATCACAGATTTTGGGTCTGAGACTATGGAGGGAAGGTTAGAGAGAATGGACAATGACTTCACATAATTAACACATCAACAAAGTCACCCTTAAATCTACACAACAACACTACGATGAGTGTGCCTCAAAAACAGTAGTTTGAGATGTGACTAGAGAGATTGTCAAGGCAAACTTTATGACGTACCAAGGAACAAGTTTCTCATTTCCTCTGAGCCCAAAGTGATGTCCCATAGTAGAGTTTCTACAAGGAATCTGGTAGTTAGAACCTGGAGTAGTACTGAAGGAAAGGTTAACAATGAACCGATTTTTTATTTTTTACCCCAATAACAGATAATGGAATACAACTTGAAAATAGCTCAAATCTCCACTCCTCTGAGCAGTATAACTTATTTGATATTCATAAAAGCTCTAGGAAATAGGAAATCAGGTATTATATGCATTTAATAGATGAGGAGAAAAAAACCAATCACAGTGGACGGCTATTATTCACCAAGAACCTTCCATGTGCCAGGAGTCACACTGAGTCCACTCCCTGCTCTAATTTACCTCATCTTGTCAATAATCCCCAAAGGTAAATTCTATTACATGCTCCAATTTCCTGATACTGAACCCAAGATGCAAGGTGGTAAAGTCATGTGCCTAAGGACACACAGTTAGAGAAGCTCCAGACCTAGAGCTCCAGTTCTGAAAAGTTCTGGAGCTTTCAGTTATCTCACATTGTCACACCCTGAGAAGCCCCTAGCATTTCCCTCCCTCTCATATCCTCTTATTTTACATCTAGTCAATTTGCAAACAGAATGACCAAGGTAGGCACTGGTGTTTAAAAATAAAAAAAAGCATGAATGGTTTCTGAATATCAACAGATCTCCACAGTGTTGCCAACAGCACAACTTCAGGGGCCTCTTCACACTGGAGTCTATGAGAATGGTGCCAGCTGGGATTGTACCGAGTGCTGGCCCTGGACTTTTAAAGGAACCGCAAGTCAGGATAATGTAGATAAGACACACTTTAAAAGTTAACTTAAAAGTAGGCAATATATGTACATATTACAACATTCATAAGGTACAAAAGACCATATAATTCAAAGTAAGCAAGCCAGAAACCAAGTTTCTCCCCTTGTGAGTGTTACTATTACCAAGTTTTGTAAATCCCTCTGGAGATATTTGTTGCATAAAGAAGTATAAAAATATATAAAACAAGGTTTTAAGGACCTCTAGGATTTAGAAAAAAATTTAAAGCCTTTTTGACTGGTGTTAAACAATCAAAAATATCAGTGTCTTTCAATGGAATCTAATTATCTGCCACACGAAATTATTTTGATACTGGCCTTTCCACAACTCTTTTATT